AGTAAAGGTTTTCTGAAGAGAGGAGATCAGAAAAGCGATAACTTGTTCTGAACCTGTAACTTTCGAAAACCCAGTAACTTGCTAGGTAGATGCCTGAGAAAGTTTTGAATAACGTTTTCCCCCTCGTGTGCTAGGCCGAAGCCGCTGCTGTGAAGGATATGTTGGAAGCTGGCGTGTTAGACACCTACCTTGGAAAGTCCTGGGGTATCAAGCTCGCAACAAACGCAGCAGTAACTGTCCTAAGGGTTGATCAGGTAAGCTTCCCAGTAACTCAGGCGCTGAATTGAAACCTTTAAGTCAGTGTGCAGAACACTAAACTGAAATAGGTGAATCTTCTGGGAATGCAAGGCATAAAAACAGGATACTCGAAAATGGGGTTTGTTTATGTCTCAAAGCCAGAAAGTGGTTTGCTCAGGAGCTCAGGATTTGGGATGCTGTGATGTTGCTGCTTCCACAGGAGTGCCATGAATTTTTCTCTTTTTTAATATTTGACAGTTATATCCAGAAAGTTATCCTAGCTTCTGTAGGAACAAGATTTAACAGAAGTAACCTTCTCTCTATATTGTTTTTACATGAAAATCCAACTTTTAGGAAGAACAGAGCTTATAATCTTAAGATTTTTGTCATTAACTTTATATATTTTGTAGAACTTTAGCAAAAATGTATTTGCACGTAAAATTTCTGTAGATTATTATGGCAAAACCAGCAGGCGGTCCAAAAGCCCCTAAGCACCAAGGACATTGGGATAAGGATGACTGGAAAGATGAGCCTGAAAACTAGTCCGCAGTAAGCTCCGTTTCTCTAGCAGAGAGGTATCTGTGTGTGAGCGCACTGACGAGCACAGGGCAGGCGCACGCACTTTCTCGAGGACACCTAACACCGCTCTCCGACGTGTGCCGATGGCTGCCTCTTGGGTTTGTGCCTTTGCAAATCAGTTTTGCTCCCAAAACCAAATCTGCACTGAAGGGATGAAAAGGAGCAGAAAATGAGCCTTTGATGTGGTAGGACTTGTGGGCTCTATGCTTTTGAAGTGTGATGCTTAGGCTCAGTAATTCAGAACAGTAGTGCTGATAATTCTGCTTTCTGTAGTGTCCGTCCTGTAAACGAGGGACTTGTCAGCCTATTTAAGCACTCGCTTTCTGTAGACTAACTGAAGTCTTCACGTGCATGCAAAAATGAGGGTAAAAGCCATTTTTTTTGTGCGTCAGGGCTCAGCATTGGCTGTTTTCAAGGAAAATAACAAACCTAATTTGTGACTATCTCAATAGGATGGATAATAACACTCACTGGCTTAGCTTCAGGGTAGGGAAACTGCATGAATGTAGGGGATGTTGACAGTCGGCATCATATGGCTGTGAGTGAGAGTGGGGTGGGAGCTGGTGCTAACCACCTCTTTTCCTCCTTCCCTGTTATCGCCAAGATCATCATGGCAAAACCAGCTGGTGGCCCTAAACCTCCCTCAGGAAAGAAGGACTGGGATGAAGACCAAAATGATTGAACAATTTCACTGTACTACTTTAGTGACGTGATTATGTGAGTTTGTTCATGTTCCGGTGCAGGCCTGTCATGATGGTTTGCTGTTGCCTTTTAAGTTATGAACTGTGTCCAAGGCAGTGCAGAACTTCAAAGATTTCAATAAACGTACTCACTGTTAAACGGTTAACTCTCCTTTTATTTGGACTGGGCCTGACGTGGTTGTTCCCAGTATGTGAACACGTGCGGGGATGAAAGCGTGACTGCCAGGTGCCCCTTCCTCACCAGGACAGAGGCAGAAAATAAGCTGAAAAAGCTCATGGGCTGAGGCAAAGACAGGGCCATCACCTACCAATTGCTGTGATAGGCAAAAAAGACTCAACATGTGGAAAATTAATTTATTACCAATTAAAAATAAAGAAAACAAGAACAAAAACTGAAACACCTTCCATCACCGGGCTTTCCCCAAAGTGCTGTCGTGGCTGCAGCATTAGGCCCACCCAGCCCCACCAGCTCAGCACCTGCATCCAGCAGAGGGGATGAGGGAGGCAGACAACCGGACATTGAAATAATGAAGTGGTCCACACCTACATTCATTGTTGTTACATCTGTTTCATCCTCGCCTTTTCAGATTCCCCACTCTCAAAATGGCAGCCTGACAGCAGCGAACTGCATCTCATTCTAACGGCCTTAAAAATAAATGCTGAGGGGTGAGAGCTGGCGAGAGGGCAAGCGCTGGAATCTTTCTGCTGAAGCCCCCTGTTAAGATTCTTCTTGGAAAGTAAAGGGCTTGTGTGTCTCAGAGTTGCTTGAAAGGAAAACTGCGCTTGAAATTCAAGTCACTTCAATAATTAATCCTTTTATTGCTCTTGCCAGTGCTGCTCTGTTTCACAGCCAGAAGGGAGTGGAAGGCTAAATCAAGCCTGGAACTAGCTTATGCCTAAATAAGGCTGCCCTACAACAGCTACGCGAACGCTCGCTCTATAGGCACTTGCTGGGGTGGGTGAAAAATAATCTCAGCAAGTTTTCAGAAGGATTGGCATACTGATACAGCCAGCTGCACAAGTGCTGCTGCTGGTGCGGGCAATGCCACCACCCGCGACAGCCCATTTTCTTAGTAAGGTGGTTGTGAAAAAGGCACTGGCTGTAAGCAGCTGCTGCTCTAGCACAGAGGAGCCGAGGTTTTATTTATCTGAAACCCAGCCTGAGGAGAAGAGAACTTGAAAGCTGCAGGTTACTGCAGGACTCTCTTTCTGAATGGCAAGAGGGAGAGATCAGGGCTCCCAGCCTTGCCAAAGAAAGAAAGAATTCCTAGAGAGTCGGCAAACTGAGGGCTCCTCTATTGGCCACAAACCAAGAATGGAAAGAGCTGATGCTGAATGTGGCTCAGCTCCAAGATTTGTAGGAAGAAACAGCTTCTTATGCTTGGAACCCAGTTCTAAAATACAGGTGGAACAGATGATAGGTTAGGGAACTATAGTTCAAAATTACAGCTGGTCCCTTCAAAGTGAAAGAGCTGCTGCCTAAGGTGTACAGCACTGGCAGGAAAGGAGAAGTAGCAGTCGCTTGGCTGTACCAACACACAAATTACTCAACAGAAGCTCAAAGCTGCAATTTTGAAAAAAACATTTTATTTAAAAGTAGTGAAAACACTGGAAAAAGTATAAGTTAACCACTTGTCAGCGCATCTTAAGAAGCATAAAGTATGGTCCTGTGGCTGTATGCAGTAGCTCCAGCGTGTTAACGCCAGGATTTGCAAAGTCTCTGCCGCCTTCTAGAGCACTTGAAGGTGGCTGCTCCGTCACAGCAGCCGCTCGTAGAACAGGAGATAGGCTTGTGAGCTCAGCACCCTCGCCACAGACACAGCTTGTACGTGGGTATCGCTGATGTGGAACCACTGCCCTTTCACTGGTTCGGCTTCTAAAGCTGCCAGAGGAGGAATTTAGGAGTAAAAGTTATTACAAAGAAATGAATGGATCAATCCTGTTACTGTTCTGCAGTAAGAAATAATTTGTAAAATGTTTTTCGTTATTTACCTGGGGAAGATTGTCCTCGAAGGACGAGGTCAGAGAGATGGTTGTTCATACTTCTCATTTTGGCATAGGCAGTGTAGTGCCCAGACCTCATCGTTCCACTGTGTTCAACGACGCCGTAGAGCGAGTACAACACCTTGGTGTTCCCTTCAGCCACGTTCTGTCAAAGCACAAGTTCGGGTCTGTCAGCCAGGCACTGGGTTTTAAGCAAGGCTAGCCTGAAAACTCTTCTCCGTGCCTTCGATTGTTTGCTGACGAAAAAGGGAAGCTGGGCATGACAGACTCGTGCAAGCGCTACAGCTGTGGGATCAGGGGAAGTACGCTGACTCGAGTACAGGTTGTCCTGTATTATCACACAGAACAACTGCGGCTTGACAAGCGTTCTACAAAGATTCTGCTGAGCAGCTTAACTGTGAGAGCACATTAGAACATGCGAAAGGAGAATCTGATTGTTTTCCCACTTACTTTACATTTAGCTGAACAGAAAGGAGCCAAGTCTATCACTTCTGGAAACTTGATATGCCTGTTAACCTTCCGTAGATTAAATCCAGCCTTAAACAGACAAAGTAGAGGAAAACCCCATAATGTTGAAATGCAGCATATTAAAACCAGGCTTTGTTACTAAATGTTTCAGGTGAGAAGTTTCAACTGTACAAAATTAGTTTTGCATTACACAAAATCAGGAAAAAGCAACATTGGGTTTTTGGTTTTGGCTTCCCTCCCACACTGGCCAAGGTTTCCCAGCACTATCTCCTGGCCCCGACATGCTTCACTGGGGCACAAGTTAAGACAGCTCTTAAGTTACCGTGTGAGTAAGTTAACGGTAGCAACAGTGGAAAAAGCACCAGCTGTAACGTCCTCATGGTTACATAAGTACATCTCTTGCTTCTCAGGTACTGTGATATGCCCGAGGATCTAATTTTGTATTGTCAAAACTGATACAACTTCTACTCCCGCCTTATTCAAACAATCTTCCAGTATCAAACTGGAAAAGCAAAAGAAGATAAATGTTATTTCCTTAATCATGTTACAGTGTCTTCGAATAGGCCAGACATTTCCATTTTCTCTGTGAAGTTGTTTTTCATCTATTTAAAATCACCTCCCTTATTTTTTCAAGTATTTTGATGGCTTTAATTGCCAGCCCAGCCTTAAACAGTGACACCAAAATACTGAACAGCTTTAAATCTAGAAGAGGCAATACTGCCTTCCATCCCCATTCCTTTCCTCTTTCCTTCTTGAAAAGCTAAAGCTCTAAATGAAAAATTTTCCTACAACTTGGAAAAAAGGTATGCCACTTTACTTTGGTGTCTCTAAATAAAGCTGAAGTTGCATTGCTTTCCAGTCATTCTTTTTGCCACTCCCCCCCGCCCCTCAGTAAGGCTCAGAATAGTCTTTTCCAATTCTACTGACCTATTTGTCACGTCCCTTTACTCAGGGATCCTATTCTGTCTGTACTGAAATGTAAGAGTCCATGAACTGCTGTAGGAGCAGGAAACAATACTAAGATACTGCTTAATACAGTAAGCAATAACAATAGTGAGGGAATATATTGCAAATAAGCTCCCAAAAGACTTGTTTTCCAGATAACTAACGGAGTATTCTTTCAGGAAAACACACCCCAACTCCTCCAAGACCACAAAACCCAACATTGCACACCAATGCCTTCCAAACCTTGGGAAAAAACCCAAACCAAAGCAGGCTCATAGGAAATGAAAACATAGAACTAATGTTAGCAAGTTAAGCTAGTACTAAGTGCATATACAGAGAATAAACTGACACTATATACATAGACATTTTTGCAGTATTAGCCTGCTGCTTACCTGTTGAAACCTCTTTAAGTGAAGAGTTAAAATTGGAGGAGCAACAGAGATTAGCATCTGCTTTTTGGCATTACTATAAGCATACTTCTTTTCACCTGCGGAAAAGAAAAACCACCAACGATTAACACCAGAACAAATGTTATGGCAAGAATTTCTTTGTTTTCACTGTGTAGACTGTTAGGATGTCGTCTGCTACAACAACTGAGAAACTGAACGTTCCCCTTTTTAACATCCCGTTAAATGAACAACTGTACAACTGCTGCCATCTTGCAGCTCCCGTATCACAAAAGCAACCACTCGCACTGTGCCCAAGCGGTGTCAGCACAAGCAGGATGAATTCTTGCTCCTTCTCTACAACTCTCATCGTCAGAAACTGCATGCGAGCTTTTACGGCCTTTTCGGCAACCACCACCAGGATTTCCCTACGACTGTCACAGCAGAATTTTCGCATTTGTGGAAAGAACAGAAGAATCACCTGTTAAATAGCTACTCCCTATGCTCCTCCACGTAATAAATTTTTAGATTGAAATGCCCTTTCCCTCTCCCCAAACCCCAACCCACCCTCCTTCACTCACTCTTCATTTTCAGTCCTGCAGTATTCTCTACCCAACCTTGTGAGCCTGCTACTCTGCTCGATTAAGAACTTGTATTAATCTGTGTGAAAGAGGTTCTCACAGCCTACCCACCGAGTACTAGCTCAACTGATGCAAGCTGAAGTTCTACAAATACCACTTGAGGGACATTCCCCTCCCTTACCCACCCAAGCAGCAGCTAGGGACATATTTAAAGGTTTCTTTTAAAAGGTAATTTATCATACTTTTTATGTTCTTCTTTGGTCCATAAAGCCTTTGTGTACATACATCACAGAGTAGCTTATTGGTCTCGGTAAGTTTTTCATTACGGGTAAATTGATACAAACAGTGATGGATTGAGCCTTCCTCCAGATTCAGATCAGCTCTGTTGGCGAGAGTACAAAATGCTGTCTCCGGATCTTCAGTCGACACTTCCCGTGTCTGGATGGGAAGCGTCTGAAGGTCACCTAAGGTACTCGGATCAGATTCAGCGCCCAAGTGTAGCTTTGAAAAGTCAGTAGCAAGCTCTTCCTCATCTTCGTTTTCATCATCCTCATCTTTCAAAGACAGGGTGTCCAGGCCATTGACAAACTTCACAGGAGAATCTAAGCCTTCCACAGGGAGAGCCACAAGAGACTCCTCTTCTACCCACTCTTGTTCTGGCTTTCCTGCATTTTCATGCAGGCTCTGAACTTCCGTGCTATTTCCCTGTATACTCAAGTCTTCCTGAGTTAAGCAGTGATCTTTGCAATCATTT